ACAACTGATAAAGCCTCTTGGATGAGAGGTGAAATGTCTTCGACCTAGAAATCTAGTCCAGTTGATTTTTTCTAAGTTTTTTCAGCTAGGAAGACAGTGCTCAAAACTTCCACTGCTCACAGCACAGTTTAAAGTAGCTCTTGCAATTTAATGACCACTTGAAAAAGATTTTCTTTAATCCAGTACAACCATCAAGCTTAAAATAAATTATAAGAATGAAACTAATACAGTGGACAGAGATTGTAATGAAATTTGTAGAGAACATTTGCACTCTCGGGGGATGAACCCTTTTGATTTGGGCATTACATTTTCTGTAGCACAACAAAGTAATAAATGTACAAAATATAAATGTAAAACAGATTTCACAGTGTAACGCAAATATGTTGCCAAGTGCATTTTATCTTTGAAAAAGCATATTAATATATAAGAATGTGTAAACAATGAAATATGAATAAATATGTATAATATAAAATCTATCCTGTGCTAACCTGAGTTTTATGTGTACAGTAGCACAATGCTGTTAAACATGATACCAGCTATTCTGGTTGTCAAAAGAATCAGACAATTATTACATTGCAACACAAACTCCTGGGTCAAACTGAGCAACAGTGCATTTCCTTCTTGCCAGGATGTTTCCTAAAACAAACTTTCGAGACCCACAGTCTGTGCTTGTTTAACATACTGGTTGTTTGTCAAGTCTGACTTTTGCAGGCAGCTGGTACTGTGTTGTTGAAAGGAGAAGTTTATAATTCTCTTCCTGTTAATGTTTCAGTTATGCTAAGGATTTTACTATGTCTACATATTTCAAGAGGCTTCTAAAAACACTGCATACAAACATATGCACACAAGCTATAGCATGTTAAAGCATGTTACAATGTGTTTTATAGGCAATTCCCATGTTCTTTTTTTATTTGATGCATTAATGTACCTGGTGAACTGGATCCTGAACTGCAAATCTTAAATCTAACTAGTGTCTTGTGTCTTTGTGGCTAAATGCTGTCTTTTCACATGTAGTCTTCTTGTCTTTTGACTCTTTTTTATCAGTCAGATCAATATGTGCTACATGAGTTTAACTGTACAGTAACTGTTAGTGGTGCATTATGAATATAAGCAGGATCCTTTCGAAGTGGCAGAGCTTGTTATAACTGGCTCTTCACCTAGCCTGAGGCAAAACCATCATACTGCCAATAAATTGCTATTTTATTGAAGTATATAATCCTTCGCCGGAGATGGGAACAATCTGCCAGACAATATTCTTAAAGAGGAGGGGATGAGATGAAATTCAGTTTGGCTCAGAGTCAAAAGAAAAATAAGTGAGAGCAGAAGCCAAGGCAGGGCCTGACTGGTCTGTCTTGCCTGCTAAGTGTCAGGCTTTTTTTTTTTTTTGCCCTTCCAAAGGCCAAGCCTGCCTAGCCTCCCTATGAAAAAAAAAACAAGGATTAAGACAGCTGTAGATAAATACAAACAGGACACAACAGATCTCTTCCCCTATGAGCACCCCTTCTCAGTCACACAATGATAGTGTACAATGGAATGACATGGTCATTTGGTCTGCGCTGGATGTGTCATCTTGCACTTCTGTGTAGAACTTCCCAGCATTGTGTACAGGCCTCTGCCATTGCGACCCATCAATGCTAATACCTCGCAGATATTTCACAGTGGGTGAGTGCTTTCTTTCCACCCAGGCAGCCTGGAGTTCCCTGGCTCCCAGGGTCAGGAAGCAGGGAGGCCCTGTGCTTGTCTAGCCTGCAGAACCACAATTACAGCTGTAGGGGATGAAGGCAATATCCAATGCTCTCTCTTTTACTATTTCTGTCTCTCGACCATGTTTATAAAAGTTCTTGAACACCTTGTACACACTCTGTTCCTTTCTATCTGAAATGCTCTATGAATCCAATCTAAGGTATCAGTCTGGATTTATGTTCAAACATAGTATTATCTTTGCAACACAAAGGTTAGTATCTGTTTTGCCATTAATGAGGCTTCTGACACTGATTATTATCATTTCTCTTAGAGTCGGGGTAAAGCAAGTCAGTGATTTGTTTCTAAACACATTATACATCTTAGAAACCTATTGCTGAAAGCATGAAAAGACCGAACTACGTAGCACAGAATTGTGGAGTTATTCCATTAAACAGTTATTCATCATTTTTGGGTTCAGGTTTTTTTGGGTGGGACAGAAAGCATGGCTTGATGACACACTGGAGCCATCCTTAATATAACACCACCCTCCAGCACTGTAATGTTATAAAAGCTAGAGCCCAGAGTGCTTTATCCTTACATTTGTTTTTAGGGGCACTCGAGATTGAGCACAGATGAAACTTAGACAGTTTAGTTTTTAATAGAAAGAGCATTACTGCTGCTGCCTCAGTATTAAGACACTGGCAGACGCTCCTCCTTTGCCAGTACGTTGAGGATACCTGTCCGAAACTTTGGCTCGCTATGCAAACTACGGAATACCTCACCGCTCCTACCTGGTCTTTTGCCTCTCTCCATGTTTCCAGCACCTTCTACTAAGGTTGGTCCAAATTCTCCCGCAACATTCTACTCCTAGACGCTGCCAGCGGCTCTCTGCTTCTTTGACATGCATACCATAACCACCCCTGCTTCCAGCCACTCATAACTGCTGCTTAGACTGGCTAACACTCGACTGCTTCCCTTGGATTTCACCACTCATGGGCCTCCTGTGAGCATTCATTCTCCAGTCCAATGCAGACAGGAGTTTCACTGGATCCCATCATCAAAGACTGTCATCTCTCATTGTTGTTCTTTTGTTAATAAAACGTCTACCAGACTGAACTGCCTGCCCTCTGAGTCCTGCCTGCTAGCTCACCTTATTCTAGTGTGTGAGCAAGCATAACAACGTAGGCTACTTTAACTTGTTCAGTGGGGAATTCTGACACCAGCATTTCGAATAGGATCTCACATTGAGTGAGAAATGCTTGACTCTTTCCAATCTCTCCTCCATGTTGTTCTGGCAGAGGAAGCTTGGGCTCCTGTACTGCTGGGGCTGGGAAAGCACACGCCCCAGCGGCAGTGCTCCTGGCTTCCTTGTGACCCAAACGGTGCAGCTCTGTCTGAATCTTACCCAGGGCTGCCCCTTGGAAGGCCAAAGCTTGCTCCATACTGCCACGCCAGTCATTGCATTCCTCGCTGGCTGAGTTCATGGTGGCCAGATTGTAATGTCAGGCTTGGCGAGTAAAGCTGCCACCAATGTCGATGGTGAACTCAATTACAATGCCAGACGAAAATACCAAAATAACTGGTCACAAGTAACTGTATACAATACAGAAGTCTGATAAAACAAGAAACACACTTGGGTCGATAATATCAGTCCAGGTGCCGGCAAACTTTCACAGCCAAAGAATCCACAAACAACAGGTCAGGAAAGGGCAGTCCATAAGTCGATGCACAGAAAATGATTAGAATCAGGAGGGTTAGGTAGTACTCGGTGGTCAAATAGGCAATCCGGGGTCAGAACTAGAATAACATGCACAAATAAATGCTGGAAAGTCATAAGAGGAGTCTAGAACAATCTGGCAGTTTCCTGGTGGGAGGAAGCTGCCTATAAAGGGGTGAAAACAGGTGCAAGCAATTGTCACTGATTAGTGTAAAGAGTCCATAGCTGAAATGACACCGTGACAGGAAGTGATGTCAAAATAAGAGCATGATAACGAAAGCAGAGGGGACAGTATCTTGACACATTGGAATGTTTGGTATTTTCCACCTCTTATCGCTGTCGCCGGTGTATTTGCAGTTTTCCTGACAATATAATAATTACTGGTTGACAACTCCAGAGGTGTCAGAGAATGAAGAATACTTTTGCATATAGAAAACTACTATACAGATGTAATTACAGAACACTAACAGCTATTGCTGATAAAAGTATATATGACAATAGGTGTCAGACATGAGTTGATCATTTCATCTCATATAGTGTGTTATAGTAAACGATGATCAATGTTGTACCTGTGACACATCACAATGTCCCAACACAAAGTCTGTCAGACACACGTCAGAATTTTTTCTACTTTTATGACACATTGAAGCGATGCTGACCAATAGGAGCACAGATCGCTCTTATGTTCACAACACCTTTGGCATATTGGACTGAGTAATATTTATTAAATATCACAGTGATATAGCTAATGTTAGCATAATGACTTTCACAGTCAGCCTTGTGAAGTAGGTACCCTACTAGTTTTCTGTTCTACTACTGTCTTAAATGCTTATTTTTAACTGCTACTTCAAGTTCTCTGTTCTCTGTGAAGGATAGTCAACCAAAAGCCTATTGCCCTCTTTGTTTGATCCACAGACAGGTTCACAATCAGTTATTATTCTTCTGTTTTTAAATGGTTTTCTGAACACATGCAGCAAGTATTGCACACATCACTTCAGACACTGTTCTGTGTTTACATTCTCCCAGTCCCTGCACCTCCTTCATGCAAGTCACGAACGACAGCAGGCTGTTATCTGTCAGTACCAGCATGTAGTTTGTCATATCCAAGTCACAGCAAGAATTTATCATCTTATCAGACAAAAATCATGTAGTCTGAATCAGGCGTAAAGTTCATCAGTCTCATTAACTCCACCTTCTGCAGCCTTAGGCTGCTGTTTTCAGCAACAAAAGCTTCAATAATAAACCCACTGTACACTATATCCAGTACCAGATTGGAGATACACAAAGGTAGCAAATAGCTTGTGAACATAACAAAGTCTTTAGTAGCTACAAAGCCAGAGATTTCCCTCTGTAGTCAGTGGAAACCAAACAGAGTTAAAAGGAGACTGAAAATTAGAATCAATGAATGCTGCTGCTCTGTGTGTAAAGAGGCAACTGTTTGCTAATTTCCTCTCCATATCTACTTTAAGGTTTTGAGGTCATATTCATTTAGGCTACATCACATTTTCTCAAAATGTTTCTTGCCTATGTCAAGCTGGTAGGGACCCCAGAGGCAATGTAACAGACAGCCGATAAACAATACTGTACTTTCAGATTCTTTCTTTAATGACTACATGAAAGGTGGTAGTGCAGGAGCTCAGGACGTGGCGTGGGGCGAAGGCTGAGGACTTAGTGGAGGTTGGCAGCAGCTCGGCGGCATGGTGCTCACTGATGTCGAGTGGAGGATCCGGGGATGCATGTCTCAGAGTGCAGGATCCAGAGGGGCAGGCGGGAGGGTGCAGGTCCAGGACACAAGAGCTGGGAGGCAAGAAAAAACACAGGGCACAAGAAGCAAACCCATGTGTAGTGCACACAGTGAAAGAAGCCAGACCAGAAACTATGGATATGCAGATGTGATATTTGTCATGACCACTCAAGTCTGTCTCCTGAGATGACACCAGGGAGGAACTGAGAGGGCGGATAGGGGAACTGACTGTGTGAGAGCAGTCAAAAGGAACATTTTTGTCCAGTGTCATGGAGATTTCATTTGTTAATAAGCTGTATCCACGGGCTATCAAGTGCTATCAAACGCAATTGTTCCTTTGCTTAATTTAATTAGTCAAGGACAATTTTGTGGCCTTAATATGTATTATATGTAAGCCTTTACGTAACAGTTAGTGAGAAACTAGAGGCACTTATTTTTGTGGGACAAGGCACTGATGGGTCTTTGTCAGTGTGAACACAGAATATGGTTGTCATGGAAGAGTTAATAGTTTTTCATTTCCTTAGGAATTACATGCATATTGGATGATTCCAATATGTCCCCCCACATATTTGAAAATCTGTCTCTCACACACAGTCACACATACATTTACAGTTTTATTTTTAATTTCTTACTTAAATTTCCCCTGTCTAGCCAGAAGATTAGGGATGGCAAACAAAAGAGTTGAAAAAAAAAGTTCAAACACTCACCTCAGTTGTCTGAGCTCCCAGCAATAAGCTTAAAGACAGCAGCAAGTGATTTGTGGACATTTTTTGCCCTGAGCTTTGCTTCTCATGCTACATGCAGACTGCCCTTTTCCTTTATGGTGGAGCTTATTGCGGCCATATGAAGCCCTAGAGGAAAACCACAGGCATTATTTATGGCTGAAAAGGTTGTTTCCAACCTTTGTGCAGGTAAAATTGTGGATTCATTTATATGTTGTAAATGGTGTATATACTGTACAGCACTTTTTTTTTTAAACTTAAGCTACATTTTTCTCTATCCAAAACTGTGAAAACTGATTCTAACTGCTGATAAGGTATTGTATGTAACACAATTCCCAAGCAAAGAAGTCAAGCAGCCTTTAGCCCATGGCATTTATCATGATACAGGATCCAAGAACAATGCCTTAGTAAATGTATACACCTCAAAGAGCTTAGGCAGCGTTAGCTATGCCCTGGAGGTTGGACCTTGGGTAAGTGGAATGGAATCTAGGGAGGAACTACACATACACTAAGTAATGCAGATAGGGGGAGCTTAATCTCTCCTTTAATGTACAAAACCAACAAGTGCTAAATGTGTGAAATAAGCCTTATTACTTTTTATTCACTTGCCTACTGTAATTGTATAAATCTACTCCAGCGTGATCACAAGCAGCAAAGGGTTTTCATGAGGTTTTAATTTACATTTTAGGCTAAAGCTTGTACTTTGCTCTTTTTAGCAGGAAGACAGGGCACACAAAGAGAAGGAAGAAAAGGATTCACAGTATTCAATAAGTTTTTTTTCCACTTCAAGTTTTATAAAAGGGAAGTCTGGTTTTGTGCCCAAAAGCTCTGAGATGACAAAAAGAAGCTTCTCACAAAAGCATAACTTAACAGCTGTTTTAGCAGAGCACAGAAGTGTGAATGCAACTTTTTCATGTTCCAAAAGGACTTTGCACATGAAAGGCTCCTTTCATGATCTTTATGTGCAGTAAAAATGGCCACTTTTTGTAGACCATGTGTGTTTTCAGGGGAGGGAAATCCAGGTGACCTTGGTTTGCACACTGTGGAGGAAAACCAGCTGTTGTGTTAATCCTGGGAGTAGCAACTTTTCAATTTCAAAAATAAAAATTTAGAATTGAAGTAACTTAGAAGCATATGAAGTTTAGTTTCAGTAAAACAGCTCTCAGGACTGCTTGCATCATTACAAATGCACCTCTCTATCAAGGCTATTTTCTTGCATGTGGTTTCAAGTGCTTGAAGACACGGCTATGCCAGAGTTGTTGACAGTCTGCTGTCACCGCTCTGCTACATTCCACTAAGTCACGTTCAAAAGTAGAGTGCCTCCAGATTTATCCCAATTTTGCCATAAGGGATCTTATTTAAGACATTCTAAGGCCTACTGGAGCCTGATTTAAAGAAGACCTAATCCAAATTTTTAAGAAGTCCCCCCCCCCCAAAGACTTTCTTCATTTTCAGACAATTCACAGTATTGCTCTGATAGAGGGGGGTCCTCAAGAACATGTCAAGTGGTGTGGAGGTAGTACATTTGAAAAGGGGCTTGATGAACCAGGTTGAATGAAATGCCTGGCTGTTAGATGTGTAGCTCTGGATATGCAACAACCATAACAAACTTCTAATGATACCATGTACTGCAATCTAAATGGGTTTTGACATAATTTAGCTATAATTTCATATATTTTCAATTTAGATTTCAACAGATTTTATATTTTTACTGGTTTAAATCTAATAGTTTAACTAAAAAGAAAAAAAAATCTAAATTTGTAGCTACAGTCAATAATACACAATTAAATGTGCCAAAGAATGGGAGAGCATTCATATGGAAGCTCAGTATATGAGTTAAATGATGTTTGCCCATTATTTGGCCCCAAACAGGAGGGTGTCAGGCTACGCTGTCTTAAATCCTCAGAGCCCCACAATAAGCAACACCATTTTCCAGACCTAACCTACCCTTAACACAAAGCCTCCCTGAGCCCTATCCTCACCCAAACAAAGAGCAGATATGTGACTTGAGATTGTATTTGCTCAAGGTTAAGCAGTGGCTGGTCCAGCTGGCTTGTAATGGCACTCACCTCTGAGAGCCAGGTCCACTCAGATGTCCAACCACTGACACTGTTCTACCAAGACTGTCTAACAAAAGAAGAATATTAACAACTGCAGTGAGTCTGTAACTATATTATCACCAATACAAGTTCTGTGTGGGTGTAGGAGAGAAGGCAAGTCTACAGGGTCATCAGGTGGGCACCTCTCACTAACTGGTGTTTCGTTGAGTTCGGCCCACAACAATGAGAAGGCGCAACAGTGTGTACCAGCGTCCCAGAACCACCCCCTCTTTGCCTGTACCCACACACCCAACACAACCTTTCATATACTCAGGGTAATTCAGGCTAACTAGTACCAGTCACAAGGACTAGCGAACATTTCAACTGCTGTTCTAGCCACCAAACCTTTACAATAACTCACCAAATATTTCAAATAGTTCACCAGATAACTAGCCACACTTCTGCTTCCTTTTACACTTCATCAGAAACCACCCCGTGTTAGTATTCATTCCAACAAAACAGTCAAACTTCTACTATGCCCTCATGTTAGATTGCTCATGCTAACACCAGGAAGTAGGCCTCAAGTCTGCTGCATGTATCAAACACTTTTACTAAGACTGTCTTCCTATGCTAATTTACTTTATCTTAACAGGCATAATCTGCACTTATCTATTTTCACCTCATTCACACACCTTTCTTTTTATCCACAGCCACTCATTGGACCTTGCTGTGCTATCAGCTAGATTCCTAATTACCAGTCTTAACCTCCTTCCTTTTATACCTTACTCACCAAGCAGAGAGACAGCTGACTTGGCTACTATAACCAACCTCCACGAGGCAGACTTTAACTTTCCAGCCATGCTCCTCTGCCTCCCTGGCTAATTCTATGTATTTCAGTTTCTTCCTCTCATAAGCTGTATCTACAGCGTCCTCCCAGGAACTGAAAGCTCAACAAAATATACAGTCTACTGTGCTTCTGACCACAACATAAGTTCTGGTTTGAGGTTAGTGTTAATCTTCTCAGGAACTATGAGCTGATTCCCTAAATCTACTTTCATTAGCCAGTCTCTCCCTGCCTTTAGCTGGCCTGCCACCTGCCTGATCAAAATTACTTGCTTCCTGCCTTTTTCACTGTCATGAATAAACAAAATCCCCTGTTGTTTCTTCTTCTCCTCCACTGATTTTACCTCTAAACGCCTACTTTTAAAAGCTGCTACAAAAAGTTTCAACACTTGATTATGTGCCCAGGTGTGTCATCTTTGAGCCAGACTTGTTTTACATCATACACAAAGGACATGTTGGGTCCTCACTTATCCATCTATTCAGATTTTGGCGAGATGGAAACACATCATAAGTGTATTTCTATAGCTTATAGGGTACGCCATTAGGCCCAAGGACTGATCCTGCTATTGCTCACTTAGTGTTGGTGCTTTGGTGCTCATAGGCTGTTTGACTGCCCCAATGGGGGCATATCTGCTGACCTAGCTTCCTGCCCATATCTTTATCTGCATGCATGTTTTCTAAGTAGTTTTTTATTAGGCACAAATTCTAAAGTAATTTATCGCTGTAATGGTAGTATTGTTTATCTCGGTTCCAGGTTCGGTGACATCACTTTAAAATGCAATATTTTTAACTACAGCATCCGGGCCATGTCCAGAGTTGGTGCCAGGACAGATTAAACAGGTTTTGACAGGAGGGCAATGTGATCATACAATGCCAATGGATCTCACAATATTTTCAAACAAGTACACTTAGCACACTGCAGCTTTATCCTTTATACTGTGAAACAAATACATATGGCCTCTCATATAATGCAGGATTACACACAGGCAACTGCCACTTCAGTACAAACTCTTGCCCTGGCTGCAGGAAGACCAATCACACAGAGTGCTGAACAAAACAATGAAGCCATCCAGTGGAATATGGGTCACTGCATAAACTGCTATAAAATACATACAGTGCCTTGCGAAAGTATTCGGCCCCCTTGAACTTTGCAACCTTTTGCCACATTTCAGGCTTCAAACATAAAGATATAAAACTGTAATTTTTTGTGAAGAATCAACAACAAGTGGGACACAATCATGAAGTGGAACGAAATTTATTGGATATTTCAAACTTTTTTAACAAATAAAAAACTGAATAATTGGGCGTGCAAAATTATTCAGCCCCTTTACTTTCAGTGCAGCAAACTCTCTCCAGAAGTTCAGTGAGGATCTCTGAATGATCCAATGTTGACCTAAATGACTAATGATGATAAATAGAATCCACCTGTGTGTAATCAAGTCTCCGTATAAATGCACCTGCACTGTGATAGTCTCAGAGGTCCGTTTAAAGCGCAGAGAGCATCATGAAGAACAAGGAACACACCAGGCAGGTCCGAGATACTGTTGTGGAGAAGTTTAAAGCCGGATTTGGATACAAAAAGATTTCCCAAGCTTTAAACATCCCAAGGAGCACTGTGCAAGCGATAATATTGAAATGGAAGGAGTATCAGACCACTGCAAATCTACCAAGACCTGGCCGTCCCTCTAAACTTTCAGCTCATACAAGGAGAAGACTGATCAGAGATGCAGCCAAGAGGCCCATGATCACTCTGGATGAACTGCAGAGATCTACAGCTGAGGTGGGAGACTCTGTCCATAGGACAACAATCAGTCGTATACTGCACAAATCTGGCCTTTATGGAAGAGTGGCAAGAAGAAAGCCATTTCTTAAAGATATCCATAAAAAGTGTTGTTTAAAGTTTGCCACAAGCCACCTGGGAGACACACCAAACATGTGGAAGAAGGTGCTCTGGTCAGATGAAACCAAAATCGAACTTTTTGGCAACAATGCAAAATGTTATGTTTGGCGTAAAAGCAACACAGCTCATCACCCTGAACACACCATCCCCACTGTCAAACATGGTGGTGGTAGCATCATGGTTTGGGCCTGCTTTTCTTCAGCAGGGACAGGGAAGATGGTTCAAATTGATGGGAAGATGGATGGAGCCAAATACAGGACTATTCTGGAAGGAAACCTGATGGAGTCTGCAAAAGACCTGAGACTGGGACGGAGATTTGTCTTCCAACAAGACAATGATTCAAAACATAAAGCAAAATCTACAATGGAATGGTTCACAAATAAACATATCCAGGTGTTAGAATGGCCAAGTCAAAGTCCAGACCTGAATCCAATCGAGAATCTGTGGAAAGAACTGAAAACTGCTGTTCACAAACGCTCTCTATCCAACCTCACTGAGCTCGAGCTGTTTTGCAAGGAGGAATGGGCAAAAATTTCCGTCTCTCGATGTGCAAAACTGATAGAGACATACCCCAAGTGACTTACAGCTGTAATCGCAGCAAAAGGTGGCGCTACAAAGTATTAACTTAAGGGGGCTGAATAATTTTGCACGCCCAATTTTTCAGTTTTTTATTTGTTAAAAAAGTTTGACATATCCAATAAATTTCGTTCCACTTCATGGTTGTGTCCCACTTGTTGTTGATTCTTCCCAAAAAATTACAGTTTTATATCTTTATGTTTGAAGCCTGAAATGTGGCAAAAGGTCGCAAAGTTCAAGGGGGCCGAATACTTTCGCAAGGCACTGTAGATATCAATATGCATTCATTGCCCATTAAGGTATCTAGAATTCTGAAATAGGCTTGACTGCCCTTTATCAAAACACACGGTAAAACTACACAAGACTGATAAATGAAATATGCTAAAAGACACACAATAGCTATATTAAAACACTGAGCATTGAAGAGCTGCGGGCCCCAGGCCGTTGCATGCATACATACCACCATCACGGGCAACTTGGGGGGTTCAGTGTCTTGCCCAAGGACACTTCGACATGCGGATTGCAGGCAGTGAGATTCAAACCTTCAACCTTCCGGATGAGAGATGACTGTTCTACCCACTGCACCACTATCACCACACACACACAGATGTGTTTCCATAATTTCAGGGGACATTATATTGATTTACATTCATTCCCTGGAAACTTACCATAACCTCAACCATAACCACACACAGCCTAACACCTAACCTATCCTCACCCTTGCCTCTCTATTCCAAAGAGTTTTGTCATTTGATGAAACAGGGAGGGCCATCAAGATAGCACTAATTCACCTAATCTTAAACCAAGCCATAGGTTTTGAGGGCTTGCTTTTTGTCCCCACACAAATGTCAACTCCCCATAGTGGGTTTGTCTTTATATACTTGTGCGAACCAACCCCTGACAGAACACCTTTCTTGTGTGGACATTTCTTCTTGTGCTGACCTTTTGGGTGGTCCACACAAGGAAAATGCTAGGATGGGCTCCTTTCATCCTAAAGAATGATCTGCCTAAGTTTCAGAAGATGACCGCATACAGAGTAAAGTCAGAAAAATGTGTGCCAGCTCGTGCTCTAAAAGTATCATGCTCTGATTAAATACTGCTTTAGCTGAATTCATGCAAAACTGCCTGTGTCTTTAAAAGGGCGCAGACAGGGCAGCTTAGAAGTGGGCGGGAAGCAAGCAATATTTATAACACCTGGAGCTTGAGGCTCACCTTCAACTAATGTTGCATTAAGATCCTTAACAGAACACAAGGGTTAAATGCATGCCTCAACACTGCGAAGACTGTGGTAGCACCACAATTGGTGTGCTGAGAGGTATAATGAGGAGAGAACCGTGAAAGCTGAATTAGACGATGGGGAAAAAAAAACAAAAAAAAAAAAACTGCAAATTGTCCACGTAAGATTTATGAAACTAGTTAGTTTTGGTTTGAAGCTAAATTCTGGTTTAGTTGTCTGGCTCATTCTCCAGTGTTAGTATTTGTGAAGCTATTAAGCTAATGTTTACCTTGAGTTATTTCTTGAAATAGAGGCTCACAAGTTAAAGCAATTTAAATTGTCTTTGAAGATATGCCAACTTTATGCAGGAAAATAAAGCTGATGTATGCTTTATTTGTAACAGTTGGTCATCTTATTCAGCTTGGGGACTGCTGATGGAAATGTCCTTCATTTAAACAACTCTCATTACGAGTGAAATAATGAAATTGGTAGTAAGACTTGAAATTACATTTACTACAAAAGTAAGCACAGAGAAGGCATGGCAGTAAAGGTTTACAGCTAAGTTCATTTGCTGTGCTGTACTGTAAGTCCTGCAGCCTAGAGAGCATAAGTGCACTTTTCAATCTCTTCATAGTTACAGCTGCACAGTGAACATTAGCTGGAGGCAGCTGAACATATAGTATATAACAAAACTCAGTACACCCCTGTACCATATCACTACAACCTTAAATGATTCAAAACTGTACCATCTTATTTTGTCTTATTTGATATGTAATAAAAAAAAAACTGGCTAAACAGACTAAATACATATGGGCCTCAACATGTCAATGTGATCATTGTGATTATTGCAACAAAAGGCAATTTACCTGTGACTGCTGCAACACAAACAATTGTGCCTGTGATTTCCAAACCATTTTCCATTCTTTATTAAAAATAGGGTGTCGTGTCCAATAACATCACTGATGACAGTGCTCAGAGTGAACCAAAACAGCAAAGTTGTGGACTATAGAATGAAAACAGTGAAGGATGCTAAAAGCCCAGCTGTAAGGAGAACTTCAGAGTCCAATGACAAACTAATTCTCATTCAAAAATATGAGCATCACCTTTCTCATTTTGCTGCCCTCATTACTGTAGCTTTAAATCTGCAATAATGGCCTTTTTCACTGCCTGGGGACTCAATATTGACATATCTTCACCTTTTAAGTTGAATTTGTGAACCTGTCAGCAAGCAGTTGCTTATTTACACACCCAGCAGTTACAGAGCATTATTGCCATTTGGAGTCACGTGTCTGGTCATCAGGTCCAATATATACAGTACTTTCTTTTAGCTCTGTTTTTGGTCTCCACCAACTCCAAAATATCTGATTCTTAATCTACGAACTGCTTGAGTATGTTCACCAGTTAGCTGCTAGCACCAAGCCTCGTCCACAAACAGTGTGTACACACAATTCTGTGCTGAAACCGTGTATACAAACAATTTATGCACAATTTTATTCAATATTCTGTATCAATATTTTCTTACCTTAATTTGTTCATACTCTGTGAACAAATT